TTAGCAGATCCCTCGGTAGGGACAACCGACGGGAGGGGGGTGACGTGAGACACACCAGACAGGGCAGGGGGGGGAGGGGAAGGAGCAGGGGCGACTGGGGGAGGGGGGGGAACCAGGAATTGGGGGGGAGTGACCGGGGGACCACGGTGGGGAAAGCGGTGGTAGAAGGAGACGGACTCATCAAAGGTGACATTGCGAGAGTGAAAGAAACGGTGAGACGACGGGTGGTAGAAGTGCAGTTAAATGAGTCGAGGGGGAAACCTAGAAAGACACAGGGGACGGTGCGGGCAGTGAGCTTGTCCGTGCCAGAGGCACGAACGTGAGCAAGGCAACCCTAGACGTGGAATGCAGACGCGTCACCAGGAGACCCGGTCCAAAGGAGGGTCGGCGAAACCTGCGGCCGCTGAGGGTGCGGCCACATGTTAAGCTGGTGGGCGGCGTAGCGAATGGCAAACGGCCACAGAAACGGGGTGCACTGGCAGATACAAGCCACCTCCATGACCATACAGATGCGTCGCTCAGCAACCCCATTCTGCTGCCGGGAGTTCGGTAGGGTGTACGTCTGGGTGATGCCCTCCGCACGACAGAAGGGACCAAGGCAGCCAGAGGCGAAATCGCCACCACGGTCAGAGTGAAGACGCAAAACAGGGAGACCTCGGTGCACACGCGCACAGACAAGCCACGGGATAAAAACGTCGGGCACGTCGGCCTTCCACTCCAAGGGAAACACGGTGGTATAGCAAGTGTAGTCGTTGACAAGCACTAGGAAGTAACGCTCACGACGCGGCCCATGGATGGGGGCGGGGCCCCAGACGTCCATGTGCAGGGTCTGTAACGGTGCAGTGGTGGGGGGGAAAGAGGAGGAGTGAGGGGCATGGCGGAGCCGGCCCTTAACGTAGGGGGTGCACGGAGGTGCTGCTGAGGAGGGGAGCTTAGGGAACGACGCAGGGAGACCTAAGACAAGACCGTGCTGAGACATGTGACAAAGACGTATGAGGGCGGGGTGACCTAGGCGGTGGTGCTACAAAAGCGACGGGTGAGTAAGCGACTGACACGAGCAAGCCGCAGCAACATGGGTAGACGCAGCCACATGGGGGGGCGTCCCCACCGGGGGGGACGCCGTGTCCAGCGTGAACAGGCCAGACACCGGGTCCCGGGGGAACGTGGTGAGGGGGGCACCAGTGGCGGCCTCGGTACAGACAGCATACCTCTTGTGACCAGGGAACGTAGTGGTGACCCCGAGGTCCTGAAGACATCCGACACCAACTAGATTCCGAGAGAACGAGGGGATGTGCAGACCTGTAAGAGAGCCCGGGGGTGGTGGAATTACGGGCGACTACCAGACCCGAGGGAGGGTCTGCAAGGGTAGCTGCGGCAGGGACGGCAAGTGTCGTAAGCGTAGTATGGTTCCGAAAGAAACACCGAGACGCGCCAGAGTCGAGAGTGAAGGAGAGCGCGGTAGTGGCAGCTGGGGGCAAAGTAGCTAGGGTGGAAACAAGGCTAAACAAAGCAAAGGGTCCTATGCTTGACGTAGCAGGGGAGCCTAAACTAGGCACACTGGACACACCTACACTAGGCAATACGGGGTAATAGGTACAGGTCACACTGGAGTCATCGACATACAACACATACAATGCAGAGGTAATCTCATCCGTGTCCATATCAAAGATCCTAACACCATGGCGGAGCAGACTATGCCCGTCGGAGAGGATCGGCGCGGGGCTGAAGCTGAGACAAAACAGGTCGTCCAGGCGACTAAAACAGTGAGTAGGAGTATGACCGGTCTTGTCGCACACGAGGTCGCGGCGAGGACCGGCCTGGAGCTGATACTGGCAGCGCGCGTCACTCGCACCACCACCCGATAACGAGCTACGCGCACAATCACCGCGACTACCACCACCAACACCAGCGCCAGGCCACCCAGGCGGGAGGCGGCCGACCCTCCGCTGCAACTGCTGCCGCTGCTACTGCTGGTCAAACTGTGGTGCCTGCTGCTCCCGCTGGGAATGCTGCTCCGAGGCACCAGTCCCAGCCCCCTCGTCGATACTACAGCCAGCGGATGAACCACCTCCACCCCCTCCTCCAGTACCCCCGCCGCGCCTAGTCTTGGGGCGGCGAGCCTTACCATAATGGGACTGCGCTGCGGCCACCGTGGCAGCGATCTCAGCAGCAGGGGCTGTCTCATCTACAGACGCAGAACCGTAAGAGTAAGTGCATTGAGCGAGAGCACAACCCTGAAAGATAGGGACCGGCGTAGTACCGCTAGACTGGGCGGTAGAGCGCTGGCGGGTCTCTATGGCAGACAGGGTGCCGACAAAGTCAGAGAGGGTGAGGTCAGCGGGGTGCAGACTCAGAAAGTGGTCGCGGGAAGTGGCAAGGCGGTTAGGGAGGCGGGTGGCAACTATGTAAATGGTAGAGCAGATAGGGGGCTAATACACACAAATCTGGGCCTAGGTGCAGGCAGCGCGCCAGCTCGCGTTGAGCGTGAGCATGTGCGTGGCCAGGTCAGCGACAGTGGGGAAAGGCGCGAGATCGGGGAAGAGCATGGGAAGGATCAGGCGGCCGGCAGAGGCAGAGGACGGGGTCGAATAACGCTCGACAACAGCCTCTAGGAACTCCTGCGCAGTCCTGACCGACTTAAAGTGAGGGAGCTCAGGTGGGGCGCGGTGCAGTGCGGTGGGGAGGGGTACAGTGTGGTGCAGTGTGGTGCTAAGCGGTGCAGGGCGGTGGAGAGGGCCGATTTATCGAGCGGGGGCCGGGAAACACGGCGGCTGAGCAGCTGGGAGACAGGGCCGCGGGGCGGTTGGGCAACGGGGCCGCGAAGCAGCGGGGCAACAAGGTCGCGGGGCGGTAGGGCGATGGGGCCGCGAAACAACGGTGCGACTAGGCCGCGGGGCGGCTGGGCGACGAGGCCGGGGAGCAACGGGGCGATGAGGCCACATGGGCGGCTGGGTGATGGGGCAACGGGGCAGCTAGGCGACGGGGCGGCTAGGCTACGGAGCGGCAGGGCGGCTACGCTAGGGGCGACGGGGCCAGCAGGGCGGCTAGGCGCTGGGTGACGGGGCAACGGGGCCACGGGCGGTTAGGCGCCAGGTGACGGGGCTGTCGGGCCACAAGGCGGCTAGGTGCTAGGTGGCGGGGCAAGGGGGCCACAGGGGGCTAGGCGCTAGGTGACGGGGCCGCGGGGCCAGCGGGGCGGCTAGGCGCTGGGTGAGGGGGTGACGGGGCCACGAGCGGCTAGGCGCTAGGGAACGGGGCCGCGGGGCCAGCAAGGCAACGGGGCCCTTGCGGCGGCTAGGCGCTAGGCGACAGGGCAGGCTAGGACCTAAGGCGGAAGCGCGGGTGGGCGGGGGGGACGTAACCTACTCATTATACTATCTCAGAGATAGAAGTGTTGAGTAGAATGAGAGTATTGAGAGGTATATAGCTGGTGGGTTGTACTCTCTATGGCATGACCCTATATAGTTTTCTAAACATACACAAATATGTTTGACAAGTAGCACGAAATCGAATGTCGAGTTTTAGAATAACAGAATGTCGTACAATGGAATGACGAGGCAAGATATAGGAACACCAGAGCAATCCTAGCCGCTTGATTGAACAAGTTCGTAGAGGGCATCCGAGGACGCGGAGCGCTTCGGAGTGACGCGGAAATGGTTCGGTGCTGTGTTCGGGCCGAAGCTGTAGCAGATGTCGGTGCCGTGTGGGGTTGATGTACTGTATGCGGTAGTGGTGTGGCGCGCTAAGGAATGGAAAATTCCTTACACCGAGCCGGATTGAAATCGCTATTAGATCGCAACGACCAATGCTACACTGAAAATAAAGTTGCTAACCCCCCCTTCATCACCATCTTCCTTTAGCGGTATTAGGACATGTTACCATAACGAAATCAATCCTCCAAAATATCGATTCAGGGAAAATAGTCGGTTGCCCGCTGGTAACTAGTAACAAAAGGCAAACGGATGCAAGGAAGACGCCACATCGATTCGGCAATCGATGTGCCATCGTGGTCAAATCGCGTGCGCGCAAAACAATGCGGAGACCAGGAGCTCCCGAGTCGCTCTCTTTCTCGTGAAAGTCGCAAGTGGGAAAGAATGCAATGCAAGGCAAGGCAATGCACCAAGTTGCAAGTGGGAAAACCGCGAAGCTGGTTTGGGGTTGCCTGGTTTGTTGCTACACTCGCGCACCGAGAGCGCGGGTACGCGAGTGACTCGGGAGGTGATTTGTAAAACCACTTCGCAATATAGATTCGGAGAGCAATCGTTATGATCGATGTTGTACATCGATTTAATCCTCCGATACTCCGATTTTCCTTATGGTAACACGCCCTTAGCCTTTCCTTTTCAGGAACACTCGTTTCTGACACAAAATCAAGCGGGAACAGGGTCTCACATGGATTCAATCCGGCAGGCTCAACCATACATCTCCTATGAATATCGCATTCGTGCTGCACGATCCAGCGCGGTGAAGTGATAGATGTTACTTTCAACATGTCGCACCATGTAATAGATGCTCTAATGTAAGGAAATTCCCTTTTCCTTACTGGGCTCGACTACAGCGCGTACGCCCTCGACTCTCGGAAGTCTAGGCTCGGCCAACTTCGTCGGTCCAGAACCACTTTGCAAACCCAAACCTCGACGCGCAGCACTTCCGTGGCTTTCGCCAACCGAATCGCCCCAACCTGTTTGCGTGGTTCTCGGCTAGCTCTGTTCGTGCCTATAAATGCATAGGCCCTCATTTGTATTGACACTCTTGAATCAAGACTCCAATTTATAACAACTAAACTTATCGGTAACATGCTCTTGAAACATGCCCACAGCCAATCAATCTCCCAATCAGGGAAAATGGAAGTGGTAAAAAAATATCGCACACCTTTCTTGGTTTAGATCGTTTGGCTACATTTAGTCGTGGTTTTGTGCAATGTAGTAGTCTCCAGTGCGATGAAAATGAGTTCGCCAGCTTAGGACACTCCCACCTCCCTCCATTCCATACCAACCAATTCGCCTAGGAACTACTATTTCTTGGATCTGGTTCCTTTCTCATAAAATTCCAGCCCCACGAATCTTGTCAGTACTGCTAGTTCTTGGGATCCGTCAGGTATTAGCAGCTCATCTTTGTACTCTCGCCTTTCGCTAGTATCTCATCATGGCTCGTCGATCCGTATGGCGGCTCGCCTTTGTTCTCTTCGCGATCTTCTTGATCCTCTCGCCAGCAGGTGATCCATCCGCCATTTCCTCGCAAGACCCTAAACGCTCGATATTGTCATTCATTGAGTACCTGATTCCGGGGAAGAAAATCGCATGAACGGATATGATCTTTCGCAATCCTTCGTGCATCACGCGCTGACGCCATTGTCTAATATCAGCTGATGCGTCATGCTTGTTCGTCCTTTTTCCGTTCCCTTTTTATAATTCCGCTGCCAGTCACCGTCCGTGCTGACGATGACGATGACGATGAAGATGCGACTGCTGCTGCTGACGACGTGGCGGCTGACGCCGCTGCATCCGAGATGGTTGCGACGGAGGAAGAGGAGGAGGCCGAGGAGGAGCTACCGCGTCTTATGCCAGCCGCCGGGGTCGAAGTCAAATCCATCCTTCCCAAGTTCTTCGGCAAAGGTAGGCCTCGTCTTTTTCTTTGGCGCCTTAGGAAAAGCACGCCACGTATGATCACCTTGTCGTCCAATCGCTTCGCAAGGGAACCTTGTTTTCCATTGCTGGGATGTCGCAGGTCATGCGATGTGACCTGGATCTGAAATACTCTCCCACATTGCTGTTCATCTGATGTCTCCATTCTGACATTAATCCAATAGTTAATGCCTTTTTGTGATTTTTTTTCGTATTTTTCTTTCAGAGCCGCTGATCCACGCCGGTCAGGAAGCCGAGCTGCTCTTTTCCATCAGCAACAACGGTACGCCCGCCTTCTCCCTCCTGTTTTTGTCATCGATTCATCTCCATCGTCGATCCTGGGTTTGCACTCTTGCAGATGTTTCCCAAGTGCGAGAACGCTATTCTCCGTATCCCTAATACAAATTTGGACGTGGAATATATACACTAGATCTGTTTAGATCGCCAACTTAGCGTCGTATAAGGCACTGAAACAGGGCGATTGAGCGGTAAGTTGAGTGCTGCTGAGGGATTTATGGCTAAGCATGATTTGGTCAAAGGCAGTGAAAGGCAAAATCTTAACATCTCCCCTTTTTTGTGTCTCTTACTGCCGTCGTGTGTCCCTCATTGCTCTAAATGTACTGGCCGCATGGCTCTGTATTTGAGTCGAGTCAAAAATAGACTCATTGTATTGGCCGCATGGGTTCCATTGTGTGTTCATGCTCGCATGTCCCATCCCGCTGTTTAAGGCGACATTCCCAGTGTCCTATTTCAAAATTGACCATTTGAGGTTTTTCTCCCCCCGTCGCAGGTCCCATCCCGGTGTTCATGGGTAACGTAACTGGTAACATCTATGTGCCGTTCGACTTCCGATATGTGGTACAGAACTTCTCGTCCGACGTAAGTGTTGGCCGGCATAGGACGCCGATTATTAGTGGGTGGGAACAGGGGGAGGGAGGGGGTGGGAAAGGGAGGGAAGCGTGCGGGGAAGGAGAGGGGGTGTGGGGGGGGGGAGGAGAAGGGGATGGGACGGTGACCGGGAAGGTGAGGAGGATTGGGAGTTTGGGAAACGGGGTTAGGGAAAGGGAAATGATTGAAGGAGGGATGCCCGATTCAGCACTGGCGGCTCTCGTTTTTTGTAATGTTGCACGACTTGGCGCAGCAGAGGCGCATAAAGTTGATTTGAGAGGGTATTGGACTGGTTGTAGGGGGAACGAATCTAACGTGGTGTGGAAGAGTGCAGAGAGGAAGGGTTTTTGCATGAAGCTCTTTTTTGTCCTTAACCTTCATGTCCCTGTCTTGCCGCGTGCTGTACGTTCTCGTCCCTTTTGTTCACGCAGTCGTACAACGTGACCATCCCTCCTGGTGTGCAGACCTCCTTTTCCTTCCTATTCACGCCTGAGAGATACCTTCAGGTGTGTTACCTCTTTCTTCATTTCACTGCGAATCAAGTCTGTTCTCGGATCCCGTCCCTATTTCCTCTCTCCCTCAAACACCTCCCCACCCCCCTCCCCATCCCCCTCCCGACCCCCTTCCTCCCCTCATCTCGATTCCACTCCCCTCCCCTCCCCTCCCCTCCCCTTCCCTCCCCTCACACCCGCCGTTTGTTCTCATTCGTTTTCTGCTGCTGTTTCATTTCGTTCTTCTTCACCATTCTGCATCTTCCCCATTGCCCTTCACACTAATTCCCCCCCTTCCTCCTCTCTGCCCACACCCACCCCAAGCACCCCCTTCGTATCTTACACATTGCCGTATTTCCCCGAGCTCCGAGATTTTGGTCGACTAAAAAACGGCTGGCCTATCCTCTACCCCCCGACCCCACCCCTCCCCCAGCCTCGGGACTTCGGTCTGGCACTGGACGCCTTCTACATCGTGGGCGATTCCCTGCACGCGTCCCTCCTGATCAAACGCCCCGTGGAGGTGCTTGAGCCTTTTGTTTGACTCAAGAGACGAGTGCTCTGTCCCTCCCCCCCCACCGACATCCACCCCCCTCCCCTTCCTCCCCCGAATTTCCCCTAGCCTCGTGACTTCGGTCTGGCCCTGGCCGCCTTCTACATTGTGGGGGATTCCCTGCACGCGTCGCTGCTCATCAACCGCACCGTGGAGGTGCTTGAGCCGGTGGGGTATGTGAGCGGGGAGTCCATCTTCCTCGTGCTGCTGGCCGCTGGGCTGCTCGCGCTTTTCGGCGTGTGGGCGTACAGCCAGATCGAGAAGATGAACCAGGTGAGGGGGCAGGCAAGGTCCTGCTCTGCTTAAGCCTGCGCATCGATCGCAGTGGAGGTGCTTGACCCTTGAGCCGGTGGGGTATGTGAGCGGGGAGTCCATCTTCCTCGTGCTGCTGGCTGCTGGGCTGCTGGCTCTCTTCGGCGTGTGGGCGTACAGCCAGATTGAGAAGATGAACCAGGTGAGGGATTAGGTTAGATCCCATTCCGTTTAATTCCGTGCATCATTTACACAGTCGAGGTGCTTGACCCTTGAACCCGTGGGGTATGTGAGCGGGGAGTCTATTGTCTTCGAGCTGCTGGCTGCTGGGCTGCTCGTGCTGTTCGGCGTGTGGGGGTACAGCCAGATCGAAAATATGAACCAGGTGAGTGAGATGAGTGAGCCTGTGGGGCCAAAACTGTTACCGAAGGACCCGCATCCGGTTTTGAGTCTACTCAAATGTCGCCCTGCGTTGGCTGATCAATCAGGTGAAATGAATGAACACTTTGAATGGGTACATGTTTTTACTCAGACCGAATCGGTCGCTGCGAGATTGAGCAGACGAAAAAAACAGGAAGTTGAGTATCGTTTAGTTATAAAGGACACAGGGGTTAAAACCAAAGATGAGCCACGGGATAGGTGACTGAACAATCTGAAACAATCTGAAGCAGCTGAGCAGCTCACGCATGTTGAAAGCGCACTGGAGTGGGGAATGGTTCACTTGCAATCAATTCAACAAGGGTTGCAAGGAAACCTTAGCCTGGGAAGAAGGAAGCAATCCGCTGTTATCTTTCTCCTTGTGCGTTGTGTGTGGGCTTTCGCAATGTGTATCTGATCGTGCCTGTGCTATTGCGCCTTGGCATTGCCAATCCTGTAGTGCCAATCCTGTATCATTGCCAATCCTGTATCATTGCCAATCCTGTATCGTTGCCAATCCTGTCCCGCAGAAATCCCGCCGGACTAAGAAGCTGGAGACGGGCACAGGGGGAGACTCGGCAGCTGAGGCCAACGAGTGGCTCCAGGTCAGTTGCATGAATGGAGGGGGTCTTCAGATCAGTTGACCATGTTGCCACATTTGCACAACGAGAGCTGCAAATGGCATGCATTTTCTCTACCTTTCAAGCCAATTCTGTTTTGCTTGGAATCATGTTTCTATTGCAGGGTACCTTCTTTGAGCAGCACAACAAACAGCAAGTTAAGTCTCGAAAGAGGCAGAAGTAGATTGCTACCCGCATGCACAACTGCATTGGGTGGCCTTTCTGTTGAGGCAGCTTACACTGTTTTGCAAGGATACCGATACCTGTGGAAAGTGGATTTTTGGAGATGAGTACTGTACTAGTTGACTTGATAGTATGTCTTGGAAAGATCCGTATGTTCCTTGCATGTTCAATGCTTCGTACCAGCCTGGCAGTGTGGTGGCAGGGTTTCAGCTAGGATTTAGGGCTGTTTGAGAATCAGTTGGGTTTTCAAAGTTGGGTGTGACTGTCAACCTATACATATGTTGTATGTAGAAGTTATAGGCTAGATAGGTGAATGTTCTTAGAGGGTAAAACTCCAACCCCATATGTTACTTCTCCCTTGTTTCTCTTCATTCTAGTATTCGAACATGGTATCATGAGTAGGTTAGGTCCACCCACCCGCTTCCGCCCCGCGCCCTAGCCTACCGCGCCTTGCCGGCCCCTAGCGTGTCTGCCCCCCCCCCCCCCCACCCCCCCCCCACCCATCGCGCTTGCTGTCCCCTACGCGACGTGCTGGCCCCTCGCGCCTAGCCGGCCCCTTCGCGCCCAGCCGGCCCCTTCGCGCCCAGCCGGCCCCTCTCGTAGCCGGCCCCTCGCGCCTAGCCGGCCCCTTGGCACCCAGCTGGCCACTCTCCCGCCGTAGCCGGCCTCTCGCACCGTAGCCGGCCCCTCGCGCCCTAGCCGGCCCCTCGCGCCTAACCGGCCCCTTCGCGCCCAGCCGGCCCCTCTCGCGCCGCAACCGGCCCCTCGCGACTAGCCGACCCCTCGCGCTTAGCCGGCCCTTCTCGCGCCGTCGACGGTCCCTCTCGCTGAGCCGGCCCCTCTCACCCAGTCGGCCCCTCTCACCCAGCCGGCCCCTCTCACCCAGCCGGCCCCTCGAGCCTAGCCGGCCCCTACTGCCTAACCGGCCCCTCCTGCGCATCGCCAGCCCCACGCGCCTTGCCGGCTCCTCTCTGCGCGCTAGCTCTTCCCGCACCTGCCCGGCCTCCAGCACGCCTAGGCGGCCCCTCGTGCGCCTCGGCCCCTTGCGCGTCCGCTGGCTCCTCACGCGCCCACCGGCCCACTTGCGCCCTCCTCGACCTTCCGCCCGATCTCCGTTCCGGAGAGTCCTGCCGCCACGTCGTTGTATCGCAGTGCACCTGAGTACCTGTGTCCCTGTGCCGCTGTGTCCCGGTGCCGCTGAGGTTGCGCGATGGCGGACGCCATGCTACGTCTGGACGCGGAGGGGCACGCGATCGACTTTGCCGCCTGGCTTGTCGATCTTCGCCGGCACCTGACAGGTCAACGCCAGGATGGGCACTCATTGGCTATGCTTGTTGATGGCTTGCTTCCCCGCCCCCCCGTGCCTAATCCCCTCCCTGCTGACCCCACTACTACTGAGAGTGAGGCCTTTGCTGCTGCTGCGCTCGCTCGCGCTGTCTGGGATTCTCGCGATGCTGTAGCGCAGCTTGCCATTAGTCATGCACTTCCCTTATCTGAGCGTCCCGCTTCACTGCTGTAGCAAATGCCAAAAACTTCCTAGATGCAGTAGTTGCACGCAACTCCATGCCTGCCTCCGCCTCTGCTAGACGCTTGATCCTCCCCATGCTCTTCCACGATCTCTCTGTTTTCCCCACTGTCGCTGATTTCGCCACTCACCTCTGTGCACTTGAGACCAGCTACCGCGCTGCTAGCACTACTGACCAGCTCACTGCCTTCCCCCCAACGTTCTGCGCTACCCTGTACCTTATTGCCATGCACTTGCCTGACCGCTTAGCCACTGCCTGTGACCACTTCCTTAGCCAGCACCCTGTTGACCTCATCTTGACCGCCTTTGTCACTGCCCTTTCTGAGATGGAGACTCGCTAGCGCACTATCGCTCAGTCAAGCGGTGTTGCGGAAGTCCCTATCTTTCAGGGTTGTGCTCCTTCCCAGTGCACGTACGCTGACGTTTCCGCCGCTGACGCTACAGCTGCTCCTGCCACTGAGACCACAGCGGCGGCCTTCCCGCAGTAGCACTGACAGCGTTAGGGCCGTCGCGGCCCCAAGGGAGGGCGTGGTGGTTGTGCTGGTGGTGGTGGTTGTGGCGGCGACAGTGGTTCTGACGAGGGGGCTGGGTCAGGTGTCCAGGAGCAGCAGCAGCCTCAGCAAACGCAGCAGCAGCAGCAGCCGCAGCAGCAGCAGCAGTAGCAGCCGCGGGCCCGCCTCCTGCCGGGGTGGCCAGGAGCCCCTGGAGGTGGTGGCCGAGGTGGCGGTCCTCGCAGCTCGGCGTCTACTGGCGGCTTCGGTGGTGTGGGCTACCAGTACCAGCTCCAGAATGGGCCCCTCCATGCCACGGTGTGCCGCCGCCTGCACCCGACCGCCCGCTACTTCCGCCGCCTCGACGACCTCTTCCGTCGCTGCTTTGGCCCGGCCCCGGACCTCCATGACTGGCCCAGTCTGCTGCGCCACGGTGTGCCTGTTTTTGACCTAGACATGGATCATATTAGTTGTGCCCTGCATTCTCTGTATGCTGATGCTTCTAGTGTGTCATGAACTTCTTACCCTGTATTCACTACCTTAGGCGTAGCACCTGTGTGTAGTACAGACACCCCTGCTGCGTCAGGCGTAGGACCGTTTGCTTTGTCTAGCCTAGGCTCTACACTTGCTTCTCCTTCGTCCGCCGCTACCGCTTCGCTGTCCTTCACACTTGACTCCGGTGCGTCTGTCTTCTTCTTCCGCGACCACGCTGCGCTTACGCCGCTTGCTGCGCCTGCCGCTACCACACTTACTGACCCCTCCTCTGGTCCTGTAGTTGCTTGCAGCTACACTACCCTTCCTTGTCCAGCGGTTCCCTTACAGGCCTGCACATCCCCTCATTCTCCCGGAACTTAGTTGGTGTCGGCTGACTTCAGGACCTCGGCATCACCACTACGTTCCTGGGTCACGAGCGGTACGCCGTCAGTACCAAGGCCGCCTCACGATCCCCCCTTGCAACGTTCCCCCGGGACCCGGTGTCTGGCCTCTTTACGCTGGACACTGCTTCCCCCCCGGGTGGACCGTCCACACTGGGCCCTACGTCTACCCAGGTCGTCGCTGCGTGATCGTGTCAGTCGCTCACTCACCCGTCGCTTCTGTGGCACCATCGCCTAGGTCACCCCGCACTCCCGCGTCTGCGTCACATGTCCCAGCACGGTCTCGTCCTATGTCTCCCTGCGTCGCTTCCTGCCCTCCCTCCCTTGCCTGCGCCGCCATGCACGCCGTGCGTCGAGGGCCGGCTGCGCCATGCTCCTCACTCCTCGCTTCGTCCTGGCACCGCACCCCTCCAGACCCTACACCTCGACGTCTGGGGCCCGGCCCCCGTCCCTGGACCGCGTCGCAAACGCTACTTTCTAATGCTCATGGACGACTACACGCGCTACACCACGATGTTTCCCTCGGAGCGGAAGGCCAACGTACCCGGCATTCCTATCCTGTGGGTCGTGGCTACGCGCCTCCACTGCGGTCTCCCTGTGTTGTGTCTCCACTCCGACTGTGGCAGTGAGTTCGCCTCTGGTCGGCTTGGACATTTCTGTCGTGTGGAGGGCATCACCCAGTCGTACACCCTACCGGACTCCCCGCAGCAGAATGGGGTCGCTGAGCGACGCATCGGTTTGGTCATGGAGGTGGCTGGTACCTTCATGATTCATGCCAGTGCACCCCATTTTCTGTGGCCGTTCGCCGTTCGCTACGCTGCTCACCAGCTTAACATGTGGCCGCACTCCCAGTGGCCGCAGGTTTCGCCGACCCTTCTTTGGACCGGGTTCCCTGGTGACGCGTCTGTGTTCCACGTCTAGGGCTGCCTAGCTCACGTTCGTGCCTCTGGCACGGACAAGCTCACTGGCAACACTGTCCCCAGTGTCTTCCTCGGTTTCCCTATTGACTCGTCAGACTGACACTTTTACCACCCGCCGCCTCACCGCTTCTTTCACTCCCGTGACGCCACTTTCGACGAGTCTGTGTCCATTTACCACCGCTTTCCCCACCGAGGTCTCCCGGTTTCCCCTCCCTTGTTTCTGGTTCCCACTCCCCCGGTAGCCCCTGCTTACCTCCCTCCCCTTCCTGCTCTGACTGATGTGTCTCACGTCACTCCCCACCCGTCGGTTGTTCCCGTCGAGGAGTCGGTGGACTCTGGTGTTCCCGCGGCGCAATTCTCGCTGGCTGTCTCTCCCCCGGTGTCTCCTCCTCCGCCGCCGCAGCAGCCGTCGACGCCGCAGCAGCTGCACCGTTGCTGCAGCAGCAGCCGTTCATGGACTCTGGGGGTGCTGGCATTGAGGAGGGTGCTAGTCCTGGGGTTCCTGTCGTGCCTTGTCCGGCGGGCTCGGGGGTGACACCGGTGCAGGAGAGGGTTCTCGCTCTGGTGGTGCTCGTTTTGGGAGTGTTGGAGTGGAGTGTTTCGGAGGTGGCCGCAGTGCAGCTGGCGGTCCCGAGAACGGTGCAGGTAGACCTGCTCGTGTAAGCTGCCCTGAAGAAAAGCGGTGGAGAAGTCGAGAGAGTGGAGCTCGTAGTCATGCTGTGCTGCTATGTGTAGCAGCCCTTGAAGAGTTCGGGGTCGGGGCGAAGATCTGAAAGGAGTCCACCCCCTCTCGCTGACTGAAGCCTCTAGCCACATAGCGCACCTTGAACACAGGCGGCTCTCCAGGGGGGCGCTTCACCTTGAAGAGCCACCTGCCATCGACTACGTTCACCCCAGGTAGGGGAACTGCGTTGACGTAGGTGCCGGTGGATCTCCAAGATGCCATCTTCGCTCCATGGCAGCTATCCACTGAGTGGCCCAAGGTCCCAAGGTCGCCTCAGCGTAGGTGCGAGGGGTCGGGATGTCAAAGGCGTCTGGGTCACCCTCAGGAACTAGCAGCATGGAGCAGAGATGGGGAGCAGCCTCAAACAGGAAAGCAAGCTCGTACTGCCTGTCCTCTAGGACGTCATTGGCAAGGGCAGGATCACCCCCGATGGACGGAGGACGGACAAGGTTCAAGACCAGAGCGATAGCGTAGTCAAGGCGGCGGGTAGAGGCAAAGTCATTGACAGCAGCGACAAGAGCGTCAAGACTCGAGACAGGGACAGACGGGTCGGTAACGAGGGAGGCAATGACCTGAGGAACAAGAGGACGAGCGGCACGAAGGCAGTCAGATAGCGGGGGAGGCGCGAGAGCGAGCGACGACGGAGGAGGCGAAGGCAATAGGGGAGGACGCGACGCGTGAGAACGAAGCAACATAGGGTGAGAATGCTGAACAGGAGATACAGGATGAGCACGAGAGGGACGGCGAGACCAGACGTGAGACGGAGGCGTCTGGTCATGAGACAGGAAGGAGACACAAGAGGGGAACGAGGGGGGAGACGAGGCG